TTGGGGAGGGTCTGGGTGTGGCTGGGTGTGGAGGGAGCCGTTGAACCAAGGTCTGCTAGCAGCTGCCCACACAGTATCTTGAGTCTGCTTTGAAGCAACTTCCTCAGCCCCAGCTGCTCAGAAAGCATCTTCCCTTCTGGTGATATTTATGATGTGGTTTCCTTCCTCCTGCCTAGGAGGTCAGCTCTTTTTGCCCAGGGTCGGAAAGCTCATCAGGTACTGATAAACTGCTGCTCTTGAATCACTCTGTGCCCTGCCTTCATTTAGCCTGGCCACGTGGTAAACCGGTGAACTGGGAGGGCCCCATTGACACGGGTCTGGTTTGGAATCCGAGGTCATACCCTTTCCACCACATTGCTCATGAGTCTAGTGGTGCCTGAGAAGTAAAAGTTAAACCACAGACTTCTTTCTCCTGCATCAAACATCACTTAAAAGAAAGGTTTGAGGCGGGGCTTTCCAGCGTAAGGCAGGTCTGAATCAGTGCCTTCATGCACATGTTATTTATTTCTTCAGTAACTCTGTGAAGTAGGTGGTATCGTATGTGCTCTGTGGATAGAGGAACCTGAGGATCAGAAAGGTGAAATGAGATGGTATTGTCATTTAGCCAGCAAGTGATAAAACTAGCCCCTTAATTCTTAAAAATGGCACATCGTTCACTTTGAACTTAAAGTGTGAACTTTTTTCTAAATAGGCAGAGACACCTACGGAAGCTCAGTGTGCATGTCCATCAGCATATGGGTAGATATTTCAGTTTAAATTGTTTTAACCAATTTTTGTAAGTTTTTTTTTTTCCTTTCCTTTCCTTTTTTTTTTTTTTTTTTAAGAGAGGTTTTTTTTTTTTTTGCTATAGGGCACGTGAGCTCACTGGAGACACAAAGAGAGACAGAGACAGAAAGTGAGAAATCACCCTCTGGAGGGATGGCCATGCCACAATCCTTTCTCCATTCTCTTCTAGGGATTTTGGGCAGACGCACCCAGTGTAAGTTTTGAACTGCCAGGTCTGGGACTTAAACCATGTCGACTACATGGGAGTCCAGTGACGTAACTTACGCCGTATGCTGGTCCGTTTTTTACTTATTTATTAGTTTTATTTTTTAATAATTATTTTATTTCACTTTATTTCAATTTTAACAAGAGAGGGACAGAGTGAGAGAGAGAGGGAAAGTGAGAAAGCAAACCGCCAGGCCCAAGACTCAAACTGTGGTCAGCCATGTGGGAAGTTCAGCGCCCTTAACCACCACACCATCTGCTGGCCCCAGTCCCTTATTTATTTATTTATTTATTTATTTATTTATTTATTTATTTATTTATTTATTTATTTATTTATTTATTTACTTATTTATTTATTTATTTATTTATTTATTTATTTATTTATTTGCTTTGTGATAGTGCTCTTTAATACAGATTTCAGGTTTATTTAATTATTTCTTTCATGAGCAAGAGAGAGAGGTAAACATACGCAATAGGTTCTTGACACTGTGATCCATTCTGGCATCAGCCAGCCCCAAATCATTACTGTACCTAAGCCTGTTATATAAGGGAGGTCTCTGGACATGAACTTGGAATCTGCCCATGGGCATCAGCTTTGTATAGTGACATGGTTTACTCCTTGCCACCATTTGTACTCCCTCCCTATTTTTAATTTTTTTTGAAGTTTATTATTTCTTCCATGAATCAGAGACAGAAACACAAAGAGTATGATATTGTTCCTTAGAGCTTTATGTTATGCCTTCTCTAAGGCACAGAGACAGCACTTGACTCTGGGCTTTTGCTATAGGGCCTGTGCACTCGCCAGAAAGAGAGACAAAGCGAGAAATCCCCCCAGGGGGATGGGCACACCGCAGTCCCTTCTCCTCCATTCTCCTCTCAGGATCTTGGGCACACACGCACATGCACCTGGCGTGAGTTTAAGCCACCGGGTCCAGGACTCGAACCTCAATTAACTACATGGAAGTCCAACGACATGGCTGTTACGCTAACTACTGGTCCCAGCACTTGACTCTTATATAGAAACCTATTCATTCGTTATCTGTGAGTTGAAAAATCCTTTGCTTATCTGTTCTAGTCCTTCTTTCATTTTGAATACCATAAAATTAAATGAAGTTATATATAAACAACAAAAACTTTCCAACTATAACAGATGGACCCAATCCATCTCAGTAGATAATATCTCATAAATGATTCGTGGCCATTGCTTTAACCTAGAGCCTCTTGTATTTTGTACATCTGAGTGAATAACCGTTAGTAAGCTTTATACATTGTGCTACGTAGATTACCTTGGGCCTGTCATAATCTAGGGATAGCTCTGATATTTTTTCCTCTTTTATTTTTAAAGAGAGGTTTTTGCTATAGAGCATGTGTGCTTGCTGGAGACATGGAGAGACAGAGAGAATATGAGAAGTCACACACACACACACACACACACACACACACCAAAGGGGATGGCCAGGCCGCAACCACTTCTTCTGCATTCTCTTCTTAGGACTTTGGGCATGCATGTACACACACATGTACCCAGCCTGGGACTTGAACCATGGTCAGCCATGGTTGGAGTGAGAGTCCAGCGCTGTTACCACAATGCCACCTGCTGGCCTGCCCAGCATGTTTTACAAGCTGCCAGTTCCAAGACTCAAACTGCGCGGCCAGCCCTGTGGGATCTAGCTACCTTAGCCATCATGCCACCAGCTGGCCCAACTTTTTTCTTTAGAATTATTTATTTATTTCACTTCTTATTTTTTTAATTTGTCCAGAGAGAGAGAGAGAGAGAGAAAGTAAGAAGGCAAGCTGCCAAGTCCAAGACTTTAACCTCAGTCAGCCATGTGGGAATCCACCACGCCACCTGCCAGCCTCCCAATTTTTGTTTTTTAATTGCCAGAGGGGATGTGTGCTCTCCAGAGAGAAAGTAGGAGAAAGCATTCCCCTAGTGGGGCATGGTCATACCACAATCTCTTCTTCCATTTCACCTTCCTATTAAGATTTGGGGCATCTATGCATATGTATCCGGTGATTTTAAGCCACCATAGCTAGGATTTGAACCATACTAAGTCATATGAGATCTGTCTTTTCTTTCTTTCTTTCTTTCTTTCTTTCTTTCTTTCTTTCTTTCTTTCTTTCTTTCTTTTTTGAGGGGGTGCGCTCATCAGATAGATAGTGAGAAATCACCCCCTGGGGGGATGGCCACACCGCAATCCCTTCTCTTTCGTTCTCCTCTGGGATCTTGGGCATGCGTGCGCACACACACACACACACACACGCCCAATGTGAATTTAAGCCACTGGGTCCGGGACTCAAACCACGGTCAGCTACATGGGAGTCCAGCGACATAGCCATTATGCCAACTGCTAGTACTGAGATCTTTCTTTCTTTTTTTAAAATTAATTAATTAATTATTTAATTCCATTTGTCAGTATTATTTTTTTAATTTGACCAGACAGAGACAGAAAGAGAGAAAGAGACAGCAAGCTGTCAGGTCCGGGACTCAAACCAGGGTCGCCATGTGGGAGTCTAGCGCCTTTATCTACCACACCACCTGCTGGTCCCCAGAGTTCTGTCTTTTTTAACCATGTTTTTATATATTGTTTTGATAATGCTAAAGAAACAAGATATAATTCAGATAGGCAAAGTAACTATTTTGTATAGTTATATAATTACAATTACAATGACTATTTTGCAAATGAATTGTCCCCAAGAATAAAGATGGAAAACTAATAAAAGTAGGCTCATTGCCTTTGATTAAATTTGTTGGCAAACTAGATCAGTGTTTTCTTTTTTCTGAAATTGGGACATTTTAAAAGTGTTACACATAGCGAGTTAACCAGGTAGCAACGGGATCCCGCATGGACAGCCATGTGGTTTGAGTCCCAGACTTGCGACTTGGAAATATACTAGGTGCATGTGCATGCATGCCCAAAATCCCCAGAGGAGAATGGAGACGGGATCGCCGCCACCATCCCCCTGGGCAGCGATTTCTCTTTTCTTCTGTACCTCTCTTGCTCTCTGCTTCTCTCTGGTGAGTGCACATACCCCTGACACAAAAACTTTTTAAAAAATGTATTAAACATAGTATTCATTTGTCTTGTAATGTTATAATGTTTAGTCACAAACAGAGCCATATTGCTAGACTGTCACAGATCCAAGGTCGGAAGAACAAGGAACTAGGGCCAGCTGCAGAAGAACAAGGAACTAGGGCCAGAGTAGGTAAAGGCCAGCCCACTGGTAACTCCAGGACGTCTTCCTCAGTGTGCTCTTGGCTCACTTTCTCTCATTCTCTTTGTTTTTTTGGCCCCTATTCCCCTTGTCTTACATCCTAACCACTTGGTACTCTGTGACATCTGTTGTCTTTGAAAATTAAAATGGAAATGTTTTTGTTTGGTTTCCCAAATATGGAAGTGCTTTTACGTAAGCCTGGCTATGCAGTCCCTGGTCTGGCAGTCTGGTATAGCAGCCCTTCTGTAGCGAGGGCTGTGTAATGCTCACTTGTGCTCATGACTACCGCAGTCCCTTTTTTTTGTTGTTGTTAGAGAGATTTTTAATATAGGGCGTGTGCTTGTCTGAGACATAGAGAGACACAAAATGAGAAGCCACCCCTCAGGTGGGATAGCCATGCAGCAGTCCCTTCTCCTCTCAGGATTTTGGGCATACGCACACATGGGCCTGGCGTGAGTTTTAAGCCATCGGGTCTGGTGTCAAGGCCTGCTTGGCAAGACGTACACCTGAGGGGGAGCGATGGCAGATTTAGAGATAAGACACACAAACACACAAGTAGAGAGAAGCGAGGACTGGGTGGTCCAGGCATCTCTGATGGAGATAGCCACGGCCCTGACTGTTCCCACGTTTATTCTTTTATAGGCAAAAAGGGTGGATGCATGATGTGGAGCTGGATGCCTTATCGTATGTAAGAGCATGCTGTGAAACACCCTGTGTCTTGCAGTTCTAGCCTTTTCTTGTCTCCCCTGGCCCAGTTTGGCTGATACAGTTTCTACCTCTGCTGGCCTTGCAACGTGGGCACAAATCATGGGAAACTGTGCCTTTACTCATTCCAAAGACTGCCATTGTTTTACCCAGATTCTGCCACTCCCTACAGTCGGGGACTCCGACCACAGTGGATCATGTGGGATTCCAGCACCTGTTAACCACTACGCCTCTAGATGGCCTCCCCTATAGTCCTTTTTAAGGTCTTGATTTGCTTATTGTCGTGATTTGTAATTGATTTGCTGAATTGTTTTTAAAATGATAGTATTAAAAAGTGTTTTGTTTGAATTGTTTCCACAGCTGGTATAAAGCAAATTACAGCATGGCTGAGAAGTTAGACTGGGGCCGGGGAATGGGCTGCGACTTTGTCAGGAAGAGCTGCAAATTCTGGATTGATCAGCAGAGACAGAAGTAAGCACATGTTTCCTCACAATGCTTTTGATTACACAGTTCATTTCTTTCTTTCTTTTTTTTTTTTAAAGAATTATTTTATTTTGGGCCAGCGGGTGGCATAATGGTTAAGGCACTAGACCACTGTTCAAGTCCCAGACTTGGTGGCTTCCTTTCTCATTTTCCTTCTCTCTCTCTGGTCAAATTAAAATAAATGAATGAATAAATAAAATAAAAATAAATCTTTAAAAAATAATTATTTTAACTTTATTATTTTTCAATTTGACCAGAGAGAGACAAAGAGAGAGGAAAAGTGGGAAAGGAAGCCACCAGGTCTGGGACTTGAACCATGGTTGGCCATGGGGAGTCTAGTGCTTTTAACCATCAGGTCACCTTTCAGTCTCTAAGCCACCCTTTCTTTAACTTACTTGTGTACGTAGCAGGGTGTCCTCCTACAAGTAGAAGGAAATGCACCATACGGCCTATTTGTCTGCCGCCGCGCAGTGGGCACTGGGGCCCGCTTTTCCATCGGACAGCGTCGCGTCTGGGCACAGCTCTCTCGCTCCCTTGCCCTCCCCTGCCTCTCAGATGTGCGCTACGATACCCTCAGTGGCCGTCTCCCGCTGATGGACACAGGCTGGGGTAAACTTTCGCCGTTGCACCCCCCGCCATGCTCCAGTGGACACACTAAAAAAACTTTCTTTCTCTCTGTCTCTGTCTGGCGAGCGCATGCACCCTATAGCAAAAACCTCTCCAAAAAAAAAAATGATCCCAAGAGGAGAATGGAGACGAAGGGATTGCGGCGTGGCCATCCCCCCAGGGGGTGTTTTTTTGCTTTTTGTCTCTCTGTCTCTCTCTTTCTGGCAAGCGCACATGCCCTATAGCTGAAACCTCTCCAAAAAAAAAAAAAATGTCAGCTGTTTTCAAAATATGGTCTGAGCAGTTCAATTTCAAAATATATAGAAAACCATCTACAGATTCTTGATAACAATATCATAAGTAGCATTTTTTTTTTTAATTGCCAATAGGTCTATGCACTCTCACTAGAGAGAGACAGAACTAGGAGAAGGAAAACACACCCTCAGCGGGGCATAGTCCTACCACAATCCCTTCTCCATTTCTCCAACCTGCTATCGAACATGCACACACTTAACTGGCACGTTTCTCATCTTCTAGGGCCAGGATTTGAACCATCAGCTATACGGTTCCAGTTCCCTTTACCACTAGGCCACAGGACCAACCCAACTTGTGTATCAATTTTTTGAGAAAATTGACATTATCACCTAGGATCACCTAAGATCAAAAATCAAGAAGGGAATTTATCTTGCACATTCTCAGAATCTAAAACTGTGAGCTTCCTGTCTTTTTTTTTTTTTTTTTTTTTTGGTGCTAGAAGCCATGTACACTTGCCAAAGAGAGAGAGAAAGGAGAAAGCACCCCCACCCCATTGGGAATGGTCTTACTGCAGCCCTCTCTCTTCCTCCTTTCGGGCTTCTGAGCACAGAACACACCTGGCATGTTTCTCACGCTGGCAGATCCACGACTTGAACTGTGCAATTGGCCATGTGGTAGCCAGCTGCCTTAACCTCCAGGCCACAGAGCCCACATCCTTTTTTCTTTTTCTTTTTCTTTTTTTAATGCCAGAAGGTACATGCACATGCAGGAGAGAGGGAGAGAAAGCACCTCCCAGTGGAACCTAGTCATATTGTACTCCTCTGTCCTCTGATTTCCCATGCTGTCAGGATTCTGGGCATATGGGCATGGCCAGTGTGCTTGCTTTTCAAGCCTCCAGAGCTGGGATTTAAATCTTGGTCAGCCATACTGGGACCCAGCTTCCTCTGTGTGCCCCTCAACTGCTGTGCTCGGGCCAGCCCACGCCTATCCTTTGAATCATAAACCAATGGCCAGCAGTTTTTGGTAAAGGGCCAGAGAGTAAAAATTTTAGGTTTTCAGGATTATTATAGTCTCTGTCACCACTGCTCTTTCTTTTTTTTCTTTTTTTTTTTGCTGGAGGGTACATGGATTTACCAGAGAGAGACAAAGACAGAGCGAGGGAGAGGAGGACCCCCCCGCCCCTGCCCCCGCCAGAGAGAGACAAAGACAGAGAGAGGGAGAGGAGGACCCCCCCGCCCCCGACCCCAGGAATCCCTTTTCCTCCATCTCTCCCTCCTTTTGGGATTTTGGATGTGCACGTACACACGACATCTGTAGGACAGATTTCTTTTCTTTTCTTTTTTTGGAGAGGTCTTTGCTATAGGGCGCGTGCACTCTCCAGAGAGACAGAGAGATAGAAAGCGAGAAATCATCCCCCAGGGGGGATGGCCACGCCACAATCCTCTCTCTTCCACTCTCCTCTTGGGAACCTGGGCACGCATGCACACGCACCCAGCGTGAGCTTTAAGCCACTGAGTCTGGGACACGAACCGCGGTCGACTACGTGGGAGTTCAGTGACATAGCCATTACGCTAACTGCTGGTCCCACATCTAGCATTTTTTAAGCTGCCTGGTCTGGACCCAAACCATACAGCTGGCTATGTGAGATCTGACTGCCTTAACTAGAAGGCCCCAGAGCAGGCCCTGTCACAGCTACTTAACTCTGCTTTTGTACAGCAGGCGATGAAATGAACAGACACAGCTGTGTTCCAGTAATAGTTTATTACTAAACAGGTTGTGGGAAAAATGGGCCAATAAAAATCAAGTTAGGCAGGATTTGACCTAAGAGTTGAAGTTCTCCTGGCCCTTGTCATAGCATTCAGATCTCACTTGTAAAGCACTGATTTCCAGAATTATTTACAGCACATAGCTATCTTCTGGCTTCAAAGGCCTTATCTCTGAGTTCTCTCACAGATTTCGCCATGACCCTGTTGAGAACAGGGGATGGTGCTTAACTTCCGGGCTTCATCAGCTGGGGTTCTCCTTGGCCCAGCAAGCAGTGTGTGAAGAGATTGGCTGAACACAGGCAGAACCGAACTCTTTGTGTCACTTGAATCTGTACACATTCAAAATATGGTGGTTTCTACATTTTGAATCAACTAAAACTGATAAATTCCCTAACCCTTGTGTCTTGCTTGTTTGACGTTAATACTGGCTCCACAGCTGCACTGTCCAGTGTGGTGCCACTAACCTCATGTGGCTTCTTCAATTTGTATATACATTGATTAGAGTTAAATCTAAAACTCCCGCAGTTGGCGAGTCACATTTCCAGTGGTTAACAACCACATATGGTTACGCCCTATATACTGGACAGCATAGTTCTATTGGACAGTGCTGCTCTAGAATTTGTAAGCTGTGAATTTTGAACAGCTCTAACACTGAGATTTTTTTTTTTTTTGGAAAGGTTTTTGATATAGGGGACGTACTCTCTCCAGAAAGAGACAGACAGACAGAAAGCGAGAAATCACCCCCCAGGAGGGATGGCCACACTGCAATCCCTTCTACTCCATTCTGCTTTTAGGATCTTGGGCATACACGCACACACACCTGCTGTGAGTTTAGGCCACCGGGTCTGGGACTTGAATCACAGTCAACTACATGGGAGCCCAGCAACATAGCCACTATGCCATCTGCTGGTCCCCTAACTTTGAAAGTTTTAAATCACAAATTTTTGTTGTTATTAAGTTGCCAGAGGGCACATGCACTCACTAGAGACAGGGAGAGAAAGAGAAGGGGAAAGCAAGAAAACACTCCATATGGGGTCCGGTCACACCGCAATCTCTTCTCCATCTCACCCTCCTTTCAGGATTTTGAGTATGCACATGTGCCTCGTAAATCACAAAGTTTTGACCTCTGACCTCTTTGTTCCTTTTTATTCATTTAGCCAAAATTTTTTTCTTTCTTTTCTTGTTTTTAGTTTTTGCTATAGTACACATGTCCTTGTCAGAGAATGAGAAAGAGGGAAAGTGAGAAATCACCTCCCCAGAGAAGATGACCATGCTGCAGTCTCTTCCACTCCATTCTCCTCCAGGGATTTTGGGCACTTTATACACATGTGCCTTGTGGTTTTTTTTTTTTTTTTTTTTTTTTTTTTTTTTTTTTTTGAGAGGTTTTTGCTATAGGGCGTGGGTCCAGAACTCAAATGTGGAGGCAGCCACGTGGGATCTAGCACCTTAAACTCCACACCTCCTGCTGGCGCCAAAACAACTTTTTTTAAATTAAAGTAAATATACCCTTTTGTTTTAGAAAAAAAAGAAATGAGTTTTATGCTGTTGAGAAAGTGACTAAAAATTACCAGTCTTTGGACCGGCACATGGCATAATGGTTACATTGATGGACTCTCATGGTTTGAGTCCCAGACCTAGTGGCTTAAAACTCATGCAGGGCACATGTGCGTACATGGCCAAAATTCCAAGAGGAGACTGGACAAAAAGGGACTATGGCATGGCCAGTCCCCCTGGGAGGTGATTTCTCACTTTCTGTCTCTCTCTGTCTCTCTGGTGAGCACATGCACGCTATAGCAAAAATTCTCTCAAAAAAAAAAATTATAAGTCATCCTCATTGCAGACTTTATCATGGGAAGTTATAAAGTTGCCCCATATTGAAGATATTTCAAAAGTGGGGTAGACAGTGGAAATTTCATTAATGAGTAACTTGTACTTGCTAGGCACTGAGTGTGTTGTATCTGAAACTCAAGAGAGTTAAATAAATTCCAAGTCGATGGCTCTGTTATTTGAACCTAAACCTGTGTGATGACTTGAGGACCTTTGTCTCCTTGCCGCTTCGAGTTCACTGAAGACTGTAGTAGGTATTTCATGTCTTATTTTAGGCAGCTGTGATCCCTTAAAGATGTTTTATTGATGTACTGTATTAATCTAAATGAAATAAGTCTTTTTTTTTTTTTTTTTTGAGAGAGATTTTTGCTATAGGGCGCGTGCGCTCGCCAGACAGAGAGAGACATAGAGACAGAAAGCGAGAAATCACCCCCCAGGGGGGATGGTCACGCTGCAATCCCTTCTCCTCCATTCTCCTCTTGGGATCTTGGGCACGCACGCACACGTGCCCGGCGTGAGTTTTAAGCCACCGGGTCCGGGACGCGAACCGCGGTTGACTACGTGGGAGTCCAGCGACATAGCCATTACGCTAACTGCTGGTTCCCAAAATGAAATAAGTCTTAATCTTCCTTAAAATTAGAACTTTAGGGGCCAGCAGATGGCATACTGGTTACGTCACTGGACTCCCATATAGTCGACCATGGTTCAAGTCTCGGGCCTGGTGGATTAGATTCACACCAGGAGCGTGTGCATGCATGCCAAAAGTACCGAGAAGAAAATGGAGAAGGGATTGCGCCATGGCTATCCTCTCTGGGTGGTGATTTCTTGTTTTCTGTTTCTCTGTGTCTCTCTCTGTCTCTCCAGCAAATGCACATGTCCTATAGCAAAAAAACTCTAAAAAAAATTCAGAACTCTTAACATAGCATAAGCTGTTTCTCCTTAACAAATAGGTAGAAGAGGAAAAATATCAGTGATCCTGTTATAGTTTGGCAGACCAGTCTCTTTTTATTTTTGTGCATGTGTGTAGTTTTTTTTTTGGGGGGGGGTTTGCTACAGGGCTCATGCGCTCTCCATAAACACAGAGAGAGACAGAGAGACAGAAAGCAAGAAAACAACCCCCCGGGGGGGTGGAAAACCTTGCTACAATCACTTCTCCTCCATTCTCTGCTCGGGATCTTGGGCACGCACACAGACACACCCAGCATGAGTTTAAGTTGCCAGGTCCAGGTCGCAGTTGACTACAGGGGAGTCCAGTGATGTAGCCATTATGCCATCTCCTGGTCCTGCCTATGTGTGTTTATAATATTTTATTAAGCTTAAAAATCTTTTTTAGGGACCAGCAGTTAGCATAATGGCTATGTCGCTGGACTCCCATGTTGTCAATCGCGGTTTAAGTCCCAGACCTGGAGGCTTAAACTCAAGCCAGGCGCGTGTGCGTGCGTGCCCAAGATCCCGAAAGGAGAATGGAGGAGAAGGGATTGCGGCATAGCCATCCCCCCCATGGGGGCGTGTGATTTCTCGCTTTGTTTCTCCATCTCTCTCTGTCTTTCTGGTGAGTGCACATTGCCTGTAGCAAAAACCTCTCCAAAAAAAAAAAAAACTTAAAAAAAAATAAAAAAGATTTACATTAAACACATGTCTGTACAGTATACATTTCTTCCTCCAACAGAAATACCATGCATGTCAGTCAAGACAAAGATATTAATATATACATTATCATCAGCAAATAGCTTCTCTCTTTTTTTGCCAATTAAGCATACTTTTACCAGTTTTTTTCCTTCCCCTTTCCCCTCCCTCCCTTTCATACTGAACTTTTTTTTTTTTTTTCCACATTTTATCGATTCACAAAAGATGTTAAACTAAAAGTATGGGCAAAGGTAGAATCTAGTGACAGGTGCCTGTAATTTTCTTCTGAAACATTTTTTTTCTCTCTCTATTCCCCTTTACTAAAGAGAATTATAAACTAAATTTTTTTTTTTTAAATTAAGTTAATCTCAATTTGGTCTGTTATTTGCATAAAGCCCCAGAAGAATTCAATTTCTGATGCAAGGCAACAAATAGTTTGGTATTATTGAAATTACGCAAATAACCATTCCGCCACAAAATAAGAATGCTCACAAATATTTTCCAATTGCAGAGAGGAAGGGAGAAAAATTTAGGTTTCAACTAAAAAAATTATTTTTTAAAAAAATTGCTGTACCTATCAACAACTCAAAAATAAACAAAAATCCTTCAATTGAAAAGACAAAGCATAGAAGAAAATCAGTAATGTTTTAGAAAAAAGTAATAGAATTCATTTTACCAGTTCAGTCTCATGTAATCCCTCTCTTGTTGTATTTGCAGTGTTACTGTGGTCTGACCTTTCCATTAACATTCGACATTATCACCGATATTTCGGAACTTTTCCCTATCACTAAGTTGGCCTTTTTCCTAGTCATTTTTTGTTCCCTTACTTGTCTGTCTGTCTTTAGTTTTCCTGGTATATTAGTCCCTTCAGAACTTCTTGAAGAGCTGGACTTTCAGGTTTTGTTTATCTGAGAATGTTTTTATCTTTTCTTCCCATGTGGGTAATCTTGGTACATACAGTATTCTTGGTTGAAATTGTTTCTCACTGAACACTTTGAATATACTTTCCCATTCTTTCCTTGCTTGGATTGTTTCTGACAAGAGGTCCCATGTTAGCCTGATGGGATATCCTTTGAAAGTAACTTGACTTTTTTTCTTGCTAATCTTAGTATCTTGTCTCTGTGGTTTTAGTCAACCTATGATGTGCCTTGGAGGAGATCTTCTTGGGTCGATTCTATTTGGGGTCCTTTGTATTTCTTGGGTCTGGATATTTGAATGCCTCCTCTAGATTTGGAAAGTTTTCTTCCAGGATTTCATGGAATAGATTAGTTTTTTCACCTTCTGGGATACCAATTATCCATATGCTTGGGCATCTAATGATATCTAGTATTACTCATATAGTATTCTGGTTTTTTTGGGTTATTTTCTAAGTCTTTTTGGTGAACTTTTCTAGGTCAGAGGTTCTGTCTTCTAAGATTTGATCTTCTGCATGATCTAATCTGCTTTTAATACTTTCAAGGGAGATTTTGATTTCCTGTGTTACAGCCTTCATCTCTAACAGTTCCATTTGATTCTTTTTTATGGTGTATATTTCTTCTTTCAGATCGTGGAATAATTTCCACACCTCCTGGAACTCATTGTCTCTTTTCTCCTGCATTTTCTGGAGTTCATGGTCTCTCTTCTCTTGCATCTCTGTTAGCTTTGTCACTATGAATATTCTAAAGTCTTTATCTGACATTTCTGTGAGTTCCATTTTACTATCTGTGGATGATGAAGGGCTGTTTTTTCCCCTTGGGTAGAGATATTTTCTTGATTTCTGTATTTCTTGTGCCTTTGTGGTGGTTTCTGGTCATCTGATGGACTATATGTTACTTCCTACCTTTCTGAAGTTAATTCTGAGTGTTAGAGGTGTGCAGAAGGAGATGACCTACAATATTTCTGCAGTTCTGTTTCCCTGACTCTCAGCAAGCAACCTGCACTTTTGTCAGTGGAACTGGATATTACTAGGCCTCACAGTTTCAAGGGAATAGGTGCACCTGGGCTGAGCTGCGGGGTTTCAACTAAGAATTCAGAGGTGTGTGGGAGGAGATGAGCTGCACTCACCGCAGCTCCGTATTTCTCCTGCTGCGTGCTTTGCAGACTCTCTTCTCTGATCTTTAGTCATTTGGTGGCATATTCATGGTTGGCTAACTTGTTAGAGATTTCTGCTACTGTAAGCTCATATGCTTCACTTTACTGTGAGGTACTTCTATGCCTATTTCTCTACTACAGTGTTTTGCAATGTGGTATCCACAGAAAGAAATTTCAATATAGATTTATGAAGATGAGTTTCTCCCTTTCTGTACCAGTTCAGTGGGGGTTGAAGTTTAATATGATCCTGAAAATATTCAGATGTTTCACTACTGTGCACCTAGACCTGCCTAGACACTCAATGTGTGTAAGGTAAGAAGCAAGGTGAGAAACTTAGATTAAAGAAAGGGAACAGAGGGAAAAATACTAAAAAACAAAAAAGCAAACACAAAGACAACACAAAACAATGAAAAGGGAAAAATTTTTTTTTAAAGAAAAAGGCAAAAAAAAAAAAAGAGAACCGTGCAGCCTGCTAGCACACATGCCACACAAAAAGGGCAGAGGCTTTCTAGTTAAAGGGGCAGGGTTTGGCCCACCTCAGATGCACTTGGATTCTGAAATTAGCAAGAGAAAGGAGAGGTCAGAGAAAAGAATTTCTAGATAAGAATATAAGAATTTCTAGAGAAAGGGAGAGGGAAAGATAAAAACAGACAGAAAGAAGACAGAGACAACCCTACCTGGCTTTTTGCCAAGTGTTCGGCCAGAAAGAGAGGTTTAGGGCAAGGCTTTCTGGTCAAAGGGCCAGAGATAGGCCCACCTCAGATGCACATAGATTCTGGCTTTTCGCTGGGTGTTGGACCGGAAAGACGGCAGACCGGTCTTAGTAGGATTTCTGTTGTTTAGGAATACTGAGATTTTATTTATAACATTAGTTTTCTGGCATTAATATTAATTTCATATTATAAGTTATCATTTTATATTATAAATTATCAGTGAGGTGACTAGTTAGAACTACAGATTCATTTGAAGGCTTTTTTCCTTAGAGGGACAATGCAGTCATCTTTGGAGAATTTATAAGACCCCTTTCTTCAAATTATACTTCCAGGATTAGATTTAACAGGAACCAGAACAAATTGGTAATGAATATTTAACCAATCTTCATTTTGCTCAGGAAAACAAGAATGTCTTATGAATATTGGCAATTTAACAAATTGTGAAATGACATTTCTTAAACTACATCATGGTATAGGAAATTTTTACTCTTTATAGCTTCAAGGCAAAGGGGTCATCACCCCTCTTTCTCAGACTGTATTTATTAATTATGAAGGTTTATAGCTTTAAGCAAGGATCTGAAATTTCATTAGTTGGCATTAAAAACACAAAGCCAGATTGGGGAACTCAATTTTACTGACTAAAGTGGAGAAGGAGGTAAACAAAATTTTATTTTTTAGCAGTGAAACAGTGTTAGACCATATCCACCATTAATCTTCCATATCTACATTAAGTATTTCCTTTTACTCTTTAAAAAATAATTGTCACTTGATTAAAATATACTAAACTGTAATGGAAGAGGTGGGCTCTGTGTGGACTTGCAGTGTTTCCCTCACCGTTTGATACCAGGTGTTTCTCTTGTGCAGGAGGCAGATGCTGAGCCCTTTCTGTGACACGCTCCGGAGCAATCCGTTGCAGTTGACTTGTAGACAGGACCAGCGAGCAGTTGCAGTGTGTAATTTGCAGAAGTTTCCCAAACCTTTACCACAGGAGTACCAGGTAACACTTGTTTGGGGTACAATTGTAGGATTCAACTTTTTATAATGCAGTCGCTGACTTTTCTTTTCTTTCTTTCTTTTTTTTTTTGGAGAGGTTTTTGCTATGGGGCGCATACGTTCACCAGAAAAACAGAGAAAAACAGAGAGACAGAAAGCAAGAAATCACCCCCCGGGGGGATGGCCACGCCCCAATCTCTTCTCCATTCTTTTGGGATCTTGGACACGCACGCTCATGCGCCCGGCGTGAGTTTAAACCACTGGGTCCGGGACTCAAACCGTGGTCGACTACATGGGAGTTCAGCGACATAGCCATTACGCTAACTGCTGGTCCCATGTAGTCCCTTCTTTGAAATAAGAATGAATTCTCAGGGCCGGCAGGTGGCATAGTGGTTAAGGGCGCTAGACTCCCACATGGTGGTTTGTGTCCTGGACCGTCTCTCTGTCCTTCTCTGATTAAATTAAAACAAACAAACAAATAAATAAATAAAAATTCTTTTAAAATTTTGTATAAGGTCCCATATATTCTCCATCAGTTAGGAAAAACTGAAGAATTCTTCCATTTCTTTATAACTGATGTGCTAACTGGTAGCAGCTAGTTACTATCTAGTAATGCCTTGTTATTTGTTTTTGTTTTTTAATTGCCAATGGGTGTGGAGGCTCATCAGAGAGAGAGAAAGGAGAAAACGCCCTCAATGGAATGTGGTCAAACTGCAATCTCTTCTATAGTTTTCTTTTTCTTTTTTTTTAAAGTGTTATTTTGTTGAATTTTACTTATTATTATTCTTAATTTGACCAGAGAAAGACAGAAAGAGAGAGACAGAGAAAGTGTGAAAGCAAGTCACCAGTTCCAGGACTCAAACCGCTGTTGGCCATGTGGGAGTCCAATGCCCCAATCACCATACCACTGCCAGCCCCTCTTCTCCATTTTTCTATCTTATTAGGATTTTGGGCACACACATACATGCCCTGAGTGTTTTTCAAGCCCCTGGGTGTGGGACTTGAACTATTCTGTTGACTTTGTGGGATCTGGCTCCTTTAACTACTAGATATGGGGCTAGCGCTAGCAATGTCTAGTAGTAATAACAGGAAGTGTTTAGAATATTTTACTTATCTTTTTTTAAGGTTTTTTTTTTTTTAAGCCATAGGGCCTGTGTGCTTGCCAGAGAGACAGAGACACAGAGAGGGAAAGTGAGAAATCACCTCTCTGGGAGTTGGCCACGCCTCAATCTCCTCTGTTCCATTCTCCTCTCAGGATTTTGGGCACCATGCCTACACGCTCTGCCTGGTCTTCAAGCCTCCAGATCCAGGACTCGAATCTAGGTTGTCAAAGTCTTCTTTTTTAATATCCTCTAATGTATAAAGAAAACAAAAGGTTTTTGTTTTTTTTTCTTTTTTTTTTTTTTTTAAGAAAATTACTTAGGTAATCACTCAGAGAAATTCTGAAGAAAATTACCCCTACCTTGGAAGAATACCAAGGAAGTGACTTTGACTGAGTTGAGACCGTGGATTCATCAGAGCTTGGCAGGAGGAATTATTGGGGTCAAAGGTGCTAAAATCAAAGAGCTTTGAGAGAACCCTCGGGTGACAGTCAGGCTTTTCCAGGAATGCTGTCCTCATACCACTGACAGAGTCGTTCTTATTGGAGGAAAGCATAAAGACCATCCTTGATCTTATATCTGAGTTTCCTATCAAAGGACATGCACAGCCTCATGATCCCAGTTTTCATAATGAAACCCATGACTATGGTGGTTTTACCTGATGTTTGATGACCGCCGTGGACGTCCTGTGGGATTTCCCACATGGGGAAGAGGTGGTTTGGTTTGGACAGATTGTCTCCATCTTGAAGAGATTATGATGATATGAGCCCTGTTCAAGGACCTCCTCCTCCTGGACAAGGGATCCAGGGCAGTAGAAGAGCTCAGAATCTTCCTCTTTCTCCACCACCACCACCACCGAGAGGAGGAGGTTTAATGGCTTATGACAGAAGAAGACCTGGAGACTGTTATGATGGCGCGGTTTGTTCCAGTGCTGATAAAACGTGGGATTCTGCAATACAGACATGGAGCCCATCTGAATGGCAGATGGCTTATGAACCACGGGGTGGCCCTGGATATGATTATTCCTATGCAGGGGGTCGGGGGTCATATGGTGCTCTTGGTGGACCTATTATTACTACACAAGGAACTATTCCCAAAGATTTGGCTGGTTCTATTATTGGCAAAGGAGGTCAGCGAATGAAACACATTTGTCATGAATCAGGAGCTTCAATCAAAATTGATGAGCCTTTAAAAGATTCGGATCATTACCATTACAGGAACACAGGACCAGATCCATAATGCACAGAATTTGCTGAAGAACAGTGTGAAGCAGTATTCTGGGAAGTTTTTCTAAAATTAGTGAAGAACTGAAGGAGTCCTGCATCTTTTTTTTTTTTTTTAATCTGTTTCTGTTTAAAAAGCCAACATTCCTCTGCTTCATAGGTGTTATGCATTTGAGATGTAGTGGAATCTTTGCTGTTCACCAGATGTAATGTTTTAGTTCCTTATAAACAGGGTTGGGGAGAGGGAAAGCAAAAACTAACATTGAAATTTTGAAGCAGCAGCAGCAGTGAGTGAATTTTATTGTTGGTGGTTACAAAGAAAGACCTCCCCTCCCCATGTGATTATTGCGAACCCTTGCTTTGTGGCCACTGTAACATTTGGGGCTGGGACAGGGAGGAAAAGTAACAATAGTCCAGATGTCCCTGGCCTGTGTTCAGAGCAGTGTGCAGAATGGAATGCTCTTTTGCAAGAAACATTTTATGATTTTTAAAATAAATTTAGTGAACCTATAAAAAATTAGTCAAATTTGTCACCATAATAAATTAGACTTATTTACTTATCTTGCTTATTTCTAAAACTATAATAAACTCCAAATACTCCTCAGGTAGTATATTACTTTCTTACTGCGTTATGCTGTTTATGAAGAAAAATGGATTAATATCTTGTGTTATACAGCATAGAGGGTTGCTATAAATTACCTGTAGACTTTGTTTTGCTGATATAGAATGTTTCTTGTGCTCTCTGTCTTCCCCACAACTTTTTTGTAGTACTTTGATGAACTCAGTGGAATACCTGCAGAAGATTTACCTTACTATGGAGGGTCTGTAGAGATTGCTGACTACTGCCCCTTCAGCCAGGAGTTCAGTTGGCATTTAAGTGGCGAATATCAACGCAGCTCAGATTGTCGAATATTGGAAAATCAACCAGGTTAGTACTCTAGTGAAAGTAAATGTTACATACGTGTCAAAATTACTTGTCAGCCATATAATATAATGGCTAAGGGCACAGACCCTGAAGTCAGACTGTTGCAATTTGTGTTATATACAGTTGCACTGCTATTCATCTTTAAGAAGTTACTTAACTTCTCTGTGCCCGTTGCTTCATCTGTACAAAGGGGATAATAATATCTATCTCAGAGTTGTCATAAGAATTAAATGTACTGGGTCCCAGCAGGTGGCATGGTGGTTAAGGTGCTGGATTCCTACATGGCCAAACATGGCTCAAGTCAAAGACCCAGTGGCATGAAAATCATTACAGAGGGGGCAGCGGGTGGCATGGTCCCACATGAACAACCATTGTTCAAGTCCCAGACCTGGCAGCTTGCTTTCTCACTTTCCCTTTCTTTCTCTATCTTGTCAAATTAAAAATAAATAAATAACAATAACATATAAAATAAAATAAATAAATAATAATTATTTTTTTTAAATTATAACAAATAGGGGCTAGCAGGTGGCATGGTGGTTGATATGCTAGACTCCCACATGGCTGACTGTGGTTCAAATTCCAAACCTGGCAGCTTGCTTTCTCACTTTCCCCCTCTTTATCTTTCTGTCTCTCTCATGAGTGTGCATGACCTATAGCAAATTTAAAAATAATAACATTTTTAAAAAAGAAAATCATCTGAATAAATAGATAAATAAATGTTAAAAAAAATAACTAAATGTATTAATATGGTAAATGCTTAGAGCTATTCCTGACACCTAGAAAGGATTGTTAGCTAATAATGCACATTCCCATGTGTATATACACTGCATTTTAGTAATGCCTTACATCTGCAGGTCACTTTTCACTTGCAAGCACTTTCATTTTTATCATTTCATTTCACTCTTCTATGAACCTTGTGTGAGACAGAAGGGAGACATTTTTATATCTCAGATGAACCAACAGAGACTTAGTGATACAGTTAGTTGGCATCAATGCAAGATCCTCTAATGCAGGGCTTTTATTAAAGCACTGTAAGTAACTGACTTATTTATTTTTTCCCAGAGAGTATACATCTTATGTAACTTATAAGTAACATGTCACTCTGCAGATATCAAAATAATACTGTTGGGGGCAGTAGGTGGCATGGTGGTTAGGGCATTGTACTCCCACATGGCCGACCATGGCTCTAGTCCCTGACCTGGTGGCTTGCTTTCTCACTTTCCCTCTCTTTCTTTCTCTCTCTGATCAATTTTTTCTTTTTAAATGATGAAGATAAATAAAATAAAATAATTTTAAAAATACATTTAAAAATAATAATAATACTGTTATCCCATGGCCAGTGGGATATATTGCCACTTTATTTTTTTCTTTCAATACATATAAATGAGCAGGACATCGAAAGAATAACCAGGATGGTGACTGGGTTTTCGGCAGTCGTACAGATAGCTCATACTGGGCCTGGCAGGTGGCCTGGTGATTGAGAGTGCTGGACTCCCACATGGCTGACCACGGTTTGAGTCCTGGACCTGGCAACTTGCTTTCTCACTTTTCCTCTCTCTCTCTCTCTCTCACTCTGTCCTTTTCTGATCAAATTGAAAATAACTAAATAAAGTTAAAATAAATAATTCTTTAAAAAAAAGATAGTTCATACTACCTACCTTAGGAAACAGGCTATTCTCACCTTGTATATGTTAATAAAGGGTGGTAACGAGTCTATCCCTGTGGTATGAAAAGCTTTTACCTGGTCTTCATCTTCCTTCTCATTCTGCACCTTATTATAGACTAAATTTATTACATTTTAAATATCCATGATATTTTTACCTTTTATTCTTCATTTTATTTTATTTTATTTTACCTTTTTACCTTTTATTCTTTTATTTTTTTTTTCAGTTTCCTCCCTTTCCTAAATTTTACTTTATCTTTGACATGGTGCGAACTCTGCAAGAAGATAACTGCAGGCCTTAGGGTAGAGAATGCCCAGTACCAGATTCCTGAGATCTGTCCTACCTTTTGTTATTAAACCAGACAGATTTCTTTTTTAAAAATAAGTTTTTATTTAGTTTTATTTATTCACTTATTTTTAAATTTGACCAGAGAGAGACAGAGAGAGAGAGAGAAAGTGAGAAAGCAAGCCACCAGACTCAGGGCGTGAACTATGGTTGGCCATGTGGGAGTGTCCAGCACCTAACTACCATGCCACCTGCTGGTCCCTAAGCCAGGCAGATTTAATTGGGTTTCTGCAGTCATTTTTTCCTATCACTTAACCCCTTGAATAAATAAGTATCCTAAAGACTTACGGTATAATTACTCAACAGTTCCATGGTAAAGCGAAATAATTGCATGAATCTGTTAGTTATTGATTTGCAAAACATATGCTGCCACATTTTATTATTTTAGAGCTGGGCTCAGTACATTCTCTTTTTCTGAGAGAGAGGTTTTTGCTTTAAGGCGCATGCGATGGCCAGAAAGACACAGAGAGACAGAAAGTGAGAAATCACTCCCCGTGGGGATGGCCACACTGCAATCCCTTCTCCTCCATTCTCCTCTCGGGATCTTGGGCATGCACACACATGTGCCCAATGTTAGTTTAAGCCACCGGGTCCAGGACTCAAACTGCGGTCGACTACATGGGAGCCCAATGACATAGCCATTAAGCCATCTGCTGGTCTCGTAGTACACTCTTTTGTAAAGTCCTAGATAAAAATATTTCAAGCTTTACATGTTGTACAGTCTTGGTCACACCTACAAATTCAGCGGTCACTATGAAAGCAGTTTAGACAGTATACAAATGAACAGAGCTGGGCCTGGTGCTGCCGTTTCTTGAACCCTATTATGAAAAAGATACTGATTGCTGCTTTCAAAGACTTTGAAATAACTCATAAATAAAAAAAAATTAGAATTTTCTTTTTTAATTCTTAATTGACAGAATTGTACATATTATGGGATTCAGTGTGGTTTTTTTTAAATAATTATTTTATTTAACTTTTATTTATTTATTTATTTAAAATTTTACCAGCCAGGGACAGAGTGAAAGAAAGAAAGCGAGCAAGCAAGAGAGAGAGAGAAAGTAAGAAAGCAAGCTGCCAGGTCTGGGACTCAAACCATGGTCAGCCATGTTGGAGTCTAGTGTCCCTAGCCTCAATGCCACCTGCTGGACCCATTGTGGTTTCTTTCTATACATGTATACCACTTATAATGTTAACAGAGCTGCCCCATTTTTTTTTTTTTTGAGAGGTTTTCGCTATAGGGCGCATACGCTTGCCAGACAGAGAGAGAAAGTGAGAAATCATCCCCCAGGGGGGGATGGTCACGCCGCAATCCCTTCTCCTCCATTCTCCTCTTGGGATCTTGGGCACCCATGCACACGCGCCCGGTGTGAGTTTTAAGCCACTGGGTCTGGGACTTGAACCGTGGTCGACTACGTGAGAATCCAGTGAAATAGCCATTACGCTAACTGCTGGTTCCCAGAGCTGCCCCATTTTGAGAACAAATCAGGGTAATTAGCATATCCTTTGTCTTAAAATCTGTTGTTTTTTTAACATTAGAAACATTCAAAATCTTTTATTTTGACTATTCTGAAATGTACACTATATTATTGTTAACTGCAGTCACCCTACTGTACCATGTAACACTAGAACTTGCTCCCCATCTTTTTTTTTATTATTTCTTAATTTTATTTGTTACTATTATTATTATTTAATTTGATCGAAGAGACAGAAAGAGTGAATAAGAGAAGGGGAAAATGAGAAAGCAAGTCACCAGGTCCAGCACTTGAATTACAGTCAGCCATGTGGGAATCCAGCACCTTAACCACCATGCCACCTACTGGCCCTACTCCTCCTGTCTTAACTGTTATATTGCATCTGTTAATATTTTGTTTATATTTCTCTTTCTTAGCTTATACCATTAATGTTTTCTAAAACTGATATGAAATAAAATACTTTTCTTTATTATATTTCAAAATGGGCTAATTGAACTCTCTGCTTTTAAAAAATGAAACTTGTTCTAGAAAGTGTAGAAGGAGCAAATGACTGCTACAGTTAAGAGCTTTATCCCATGGTCTATTAGGTATTTAGAAGTCATTTATTCCATCCCATACCACTGCAGGCTTGCACTTAGGCTAAGACTAGATCAGCATGTTATTTATGGACTTCCAGGAGGTGGCACAAGTTGCAGATATAAGAAAGTTTTGAAAAACTTGTAATATCCCAGAAAGCCTTCATTCTATAAATCATTTGGCTTTATCCTGTCACAGATCCCTTAGAGGCAACTCCTAGTTAGGTCATTAGTGAAAATGATTCTTTTTATTTTTTTTTAAGAGATTTTTTGCTATAAGGCGTGTGTGCTCACCAGAGAGACAGCGAGACAAAAAAGTGAGAAGTCACCACCCGCCCCAGGGGGATGGCCATGCCGCAATTCCTTCTCCATTCTCCTTTTGGGATTTTGGGCACATGAGTTTTAAACCAATAGGTCTGGGACTTGAACCATGGTTGACTACATGGGAATCGGTGACATAACCATGAAGGTGATTCCTAGTTATCTAATGATTCTTTGTTCCAGTTCCTTTACATTAACTAACCTGGGTACTTTGGGTCTAGTTTCACTCCCTTGTTTCTTTTTTTTTTTTGCTAAAGGGTGCACGCGCTCGCCAGACAGGCAGAGACAGAGACAGAAAACGAGAAATCACCCCCCAGGGAGGATGGCCATGCCGCAATCCCTTCTCCTCCATTCTCCTCTCGGGATCATGGGCACGCATGCACACGCACCCGGCGTGAGTTTTAAGCCACCAGGTCCGGGATGTGAACCGCGATCAACTACATGGGAGTCCAGCGACATAGCCATTACACCAACTGCTGGTCCCTCCCTTGTTTCTGATAGTTATTTTTTCCCACTAATTTCTTCATTAAGAATACAGTTTGTATGGAGTCCTGTTTATCTTAAGTTTTTAAATTAAAAATTTCTGTTAAACATGTTTGATTTTTAAAGGAACCTTTAATTGTAAAAATAGAATGCTTTGATTTCTAGTGTTTAAACCAAAAATTGATTTTTAAGAGGATTTTTCTGGTTTGCTTCAGAAATTTTAAAAAACTATGGTGCTGAAAAATATGGACCTCACTCAGTTTGTCTAATTCAAAAATCAGCATTTGTCATGGAAAAATGTGAGAGGAAACTCAGCTACCCAGACTGGGGAAGTGGATGTTATCAGGTAAACTCGATTAAAATCCTATCAAACATTATTTCATTTTATTTCATAATATGATGTTTTTATGTTTTAAAATACTTTGTCGCTTTTTATGTAGTTAACTTATTAATTAATACTTTAACATATCTTGTTTGTTTATGTAAATATTAGTTTAGATGCTTGTGTTTGTTAAACTGTTATTTCTTTGAGAAAAATTGCCTTTTTCTATTTGTTTTAAAATGTAGACAATTTGGGACGAGCAGATGGTGTAATGGTTATGTCGCTGGACTCCCACGTAGTCCTTCCTGGTTCGAGTCCCGGACCTGGTGGCTTAAATTTACACCAGGTGGCATGTGTGTGCATGCCCAAAGTCCTGAAGGGATTGTGGTGTAACCAGACCCCCCAGGGGTGATTTCTCTCTTTCTATCTGTCTCTCTCTCCAGTGAGCACACGTGCCATATAGCAAAAATCTCTCTTTAATACAAAACAAAACTGGCACTGGGTACATGTATGCATGTCCAAAATCCTAAGAGGAGAATGGAGGAGAAGGGATTGTGGCATAGCCATCCCCACGGGGAGTGATTTCTCACTTTCTGTCTCTGTCTCTGTCTCTCCAGGGAGTGCACATACCCTATAGCAAAAATCACTCATTAAAAAAAAGCAAAACAAAAAACTCACTGGATGCATATGTATGTGTGCCCAAAATTCCAAGAGGAGAATGGAGGAAAAGGGATTTTGGCGTGGCCATCCTCCCTGGGGATGATCTCTCTCTTTCTGTCTCTGGCAAGAACAGGCACCCAATAGCAAAAAATCTCTCTCTCAAAAGAAATGGTAAACAATTACTATATATCAGTAAGCTTTATAATAATTTTACTTCTGAATATAGTTTTCAGAAAGTTCATGGGAAATGTGTATTATGAAAAAATTATGCATGGATTTGGGGGGTGGGTATTGGCACCAAATAAACTTGTACTGATTTGTTACAACAGGCCTAAACAGGATCTAGTTTGGGGCACTAGAAAGGATAAGGCATCAGTTTTAAAAAAGCTCTTATCAGTGCAACATGTGTTCTGCTAAAGTGTAAGCAAGAACAAACATCAAATTTATAGTGAGCGTAATGGCTATGTCACTGGACTCCCACATAGTCAACTGCGGTTCGCCTCCTGGACCCGGTGGCTTAAAACTCACGCCAGGCGTGTGTGTGTGCGTGCCCAAGATCCTGAGAGGAGAATGGAAGGGGAGGGATTGCGGCGTGGCCATCCCCCCTGGGGGGGGATTTCTCACTTTCTGTCTCTCTGTCTCTCTCTGTCTGCCTGGCGAGCACACGCGCCCTATAGCAAAAACCTCTCAAAAAAAATTTTATAGTGAAATCTAAAATTATGGGGATAATACCCTGAAGAAATCAACAGTTTAAAAATCCAAACATTTTAAAAAAGACTAGACAGGACAGCAGATGACATAATGGACATGTCACTGGACTCCCACATGGCCAACCACATTTCGTGTCCCAGACCTGGTGGCTTAAAACTCATGCCAGAAAAAAAAAAAAAAAGGGACCAGCAGTTAGCAAAAAGACTATGTCGCTGGCCCACGCAGTCAACCACGGTTCGAGACCCGGACCTGGTGGCTTAAACTCATGCCAGGCGCATGTGCGTACGTGCCCAAGATCCCAAGAGGAGAATGGAGGAGAAGGGATTGTGGTGTAGCCATCCCCCCTGGGGGTGATTTCTCGCTTTCTGTCTCTCTGTCTTTCTCTGTCTGTCTGGCGAGCGCATGCGCCCTATGGCAAAAATGTCTCCAAAAAAAAAAAAAACCTCATGCCAGGTGCATGTGCGTGCCAGCCCAAAATCCTGAGAAGAGAATCGAGGAGAATGGATTGTGATGTGGCCAGTGTAGTGTGGCCACCCCTCCTGGCAGAGGGGTGATTTCTCTCTTTCTTTCTCTCTCTCTTCCCCCAGCGAATGCATGTGCCCTAATAGCAAAAATCTCTCTCTCAAAAAAAGGGAGGGACTAGACAATGTTGAAGACAATGTCAGCAGCATCAGATCATCCATGTCAACTTGTGAGCAAGAATTAATCTTGTTTCTGCCCAAATGGAAGAGGATCATAGCGAACATCATAGCTATCTCAATCACTTCAGCTTATTCTATTCATTTTTATTTTTAAGTTTATTAATTTACTTATTCAGTGGAAGAGAGAGAGACGGAGAAAGAGCTAGTACCCCACCAGTGTTCTGACGCACTGCTTCTTCAGCAAGCCCAGTGTACTCAGGGTGGTCTCTGGATGCAAACCTGAAGCCTTCTCACATGGGCTGGCTTCACAGAACGTTGTGTTTTACTGCCAACCACAGTCCAGCCCAGCTTACTCGATTCTGATTGAAAAATTAAATTTGAGCAAACTTTCTGCTCAGTAGGTACCAAAGCTCTTGTGCCCAAATCAACTGCAGACAAGAGCAGATTTTTCCATAGAACTTTTTTTTTTTTTTGAGAGAGAGATTTTTGCTGTAGGGCACATGTGCTCACTGGAGAGACAAAGACAGAGAGACAGAAAGAGAGAAATCATCCCCACAAGGGGAATGACCATACCATAATCCCTTCTCCTCCATTCTCCTCTCAGGATTTTGGGCACGCCCTGTCTAGGACTTGAACCATGGTCAACTCTGTGCGAGTTGAGTGAAGAAACATTATGCCATCTGCTGGTCTCTCCATAGAAATTTTAAAAAATGGTATCAAGACCCTGTAGAATTTCTTTGAAGAATTGTAACAGGAGATGCCACCTGGCTTTATCAGTTCAATTCTGAAGATAAAACATTCTCAAAGCAGTGGCTACCAGGAGGTATAAGTGATCCAATCAAAGCCAAAGCAGACTGGTCAGGAGCCACAGCCATAGCAACAATTTTTGGGGATGCCAAAGGCATTTTGCTTTTGACTTTCTGGAGAGCTGGAGAATAGTACCATCTGCTTTTTAGGGAGAGTGTTTTGAGAAAGTTCACTGAAGCTTTGCAGATACACTCATGGAAGCATCACCAGAGTCCTTCACTATGACGGTGCTCCTGCATTCCACTCACCAAACAAAAGTCGTTCTGTGAGTTTTGGCAGGAAACCACCTTCTAGTCCTGACTGGATCCTTCTGACTTCTTTTTGTTTCCTAATCTTAAAAAAATCTTTAAGGAAAGACTGCATTGACTTGGTTAAATGTCCATGACTTTCAGATCTTTAGGAGGATTAAATGACTGATATCTATTACAAAAGTGTCTTGAATGTGATGGGGCTTATGTTGAGAAATAACATGAATATATATATATATATAAATGAATATATATAGACACACACACACAAACATATATATATACACACACATGCATATATGCATATACATATATTGGATCATTGGAGAGGTCATGACACATTATTGCATAGAAGATATAGTAAAATACATCATGACTTTTCTGAGACCCTGTGTGTGTGTGTGTGTGTGTGTGTGTGTGTGTATAGTTTTGTTTGTTTGTATTTTAGGTTTTTGCCATGGGGTGCTTACACTCACCAGAGAGAGACAGAGAGACAAAGAGAAGGAAAGTGAGAAATCACCCACCAGGGGGATGGCCACACCACAGTCCTATCTCCTCCATTCACTTGGGATTTGGGGCATGTGTGCACATGTACCTAGTGTGTTTCTTTTAAGCCACAGGGTCCTGGACTTGAATCGTGATAGGCCATGTAGAAATCCAGTGCCTCAACCAGCGTGCCACCTGTTGGCCCCATTAATGTTTATATTAATACTTTTTATTTTTTGGTCAGGGGATGTGCTTGCCGGAGAGAGAGAGAGAGAGAATGCTTCATAGGGCATGGTCATGCTGCAATCCCTTTTCTTCCATTTCTTCATTCTGTCAAGATTTGGGGCAGGCATACTCATTCCTAGGCTTAATTTTTAAGCTGCCAGAGCCAGGATTCAAATTCTCTTTTTATGGCACAAGATATCCGAGAGTCATCTTGTACTTCCTCTGCCCCAGTCCTGGAATGAACCATTTTTCTAAAGAGCTCCAGGTACTTCTAGTGGAGCGTGTGTTTGGGGATGAAGAGCTGGGCGCTCATGTACGGCCCACTGCTGTTAGCTTATAGCTGTTCTCCAGAGCCTTCTGCAGAGCTAGGGTAGAAATGTGTGTGGAGCACGTATGTATATACACACTCATGTGTGTGTGCATGTGTGTATAAAACTACGAGTTTGTGCTAATATCTTTGATTCAAGTCCAACACCAAAGCGTTAATTTTTTCCCCCTTCACGTATTTGTACCTCCTTTTTCCACAGTGAGAAATGTGGCTCTCGGGACCAGCAGTTAGCGTAATGGCTATGTCGCTGGACTCCCACATAGTCTACCGCGGTTCGTGTCCTGGACCCGGTGGCTCAAAACTCACACTGGATGCGTGTGCGTGCATGCCCAAGATCCCAAGAGGAGAATGGAGGAGAAGGGATTGCGGTGTGGCCATCCCCCCTGGGGGGTGATTTCTTGCTTTCTGTCTCTATGTCTCTCTCTGTCTGGTGAGCGCATGCGCCCTATAGCGAAAAACCTCTCAAAAAAAAAAAAAAAAGAAATGTGACTCTCGGTGACCTCAGTGTGTTTACTTATTTGGTCTGTCCACATCCTTTCCTCCTCCACCACCCCATGTGGTTACCCTCCTCATCCACGCATGCTCTGGCCTGACTCACCAGGTCATACCACACCTCTCTCCAGCCCCATGCACAGACCTTGCCTCCCTAATGGCTTCGGACTTAATGGCTTTGAGGAGGGCAAAGGTGAAGGGATAAGTGAGGGGTTTTTTGTTTTATTTTTTAAGTTGCAACATGTGTGTGACATGAAATCTGCCGTTTTACCCTTTGTTAAGTGTACCGTTCATTGGCATTACACATCCACATTGCTGGCCCACCGTCATCGCTGCCCATCTGCCACAGTTTTGATTATCCCAGACTGAAACTGTTCCCACTGACCATTCATCCCCCATCCCTCCTCTCTTCAGCCCCTGGCAACCATTCTCCTACCTCATATCTCTTTGAATTTGCCTATTTCATATAAATCGGGTCATATAATATCCTTTTGCAGCTGGCTTATTTTACTTAGCATGTATTCAGGGTTCATCCATGTTGTAGCATGTAACAGAACTTTGGAGAATGCCTTTTGGGATCCTGGGCACCCTCGCCTGGCATATGTCTCAGACTACCAGTCTGGGACTCAGAGTTGGACACGTGGGATCTGGCTGCCGTAATCACCAGGCCACTGAGCCAGCTTCCCTATTCTTATTTTAATTCTCTGATAAAACTTTTGATCGAACTTACATATGGAAATAGATTGAATCAACTTTGTCATCTTCCTTCAAAAAAACTGCAGCCCCCAGTATTACATTCTTTCCCAGAGGTACCACTTTCAGTTCTTAGCTGTAAATAACTCAATTCTCACTGATAAATGAAATTAGTAAAGTTACAGGATACCAAATCATTATACCCCCCCTTGGAGGCGGTGATCTCTTACTTTCTGTCTCTCTGTGTCTCTCTGTCTTTCTGGCAAGCACCTGCGCCCTGTAGCCAAAACAAATAAATAAAGTAGTGCATATACACAATGGAATACTACTTGACCGTAAAGAACAGTCAGGTCCTGCCATTCGGTACAGAGTGGTTGAACATAGAAGACGCGATAAAGTGGAGTAAGCCAGACAATGAGATTTGAACATTGTATGTCGTAGCTCAGTGTATTCTGGATGTCTACACTCTGGTCGAAATGGAAAGATTTGAAAATGTGCAAGTAGAGTACAACTGTAGGCTACATAGGGAGGAGAGGGTTGGAAATCATACAAGGGGGTCAAGGAAAAACCATTTAACAGACACAAATGCAGGTAGATGGGGTAAATGGGTTGAAGAATAGCATTCCAAATACGGAGTGAAAAAATCAGACATCGCCAACCATTCATACATACATATGTGAGGGGGAGAGAAAAGGGAGAACTAGTAGAGCAAAAATTAATGGCACATATGATTAAATGGTGGTCTGTATTGAAAACAATGATAATGTGACAAGCAGATGACATAATGGTTACATCACTGAACTCGCACATAGTCGACTACAGTTCGAGTCCCAGACCCAGAAGCTTAAATTCTTCACACCAGGTGCACGTGTGTGCGTGCCCAAAATCATGAGAGGAGAAAGGAGGAGGAGGGATTGCCATGTGGCCATCCCCCTGAGGGGTGATTTCTCTCTTTCTGTCTCTCTGTCTCTCTGGCACAAGCACATGCCATATAGTAAAAAAACTCTCTAAAAAAGAAAATATGAAAACAACAAATATGGTATTTAATTATCTCACACTGCATGCATGCTTTAAAAATCCATATTATACCCCACAAAAATGTATACCAATTAAATATAAATAAGAAAGTATATACTAAAATAGAAAAAAAAGCAAATACCCTGTGTTTATGCCCTGGAAAACCATAATATATCCCATTAATATATAAAAGTACTGTGTCAATTAAAAATAATTTAAATGAAAAAAAATCCTCTTTATGGGGCCAGCAGGTGTCATGGAGGTTAAAGGACTGGATCCCACATGACTGACTGCACGGTTCAATTCCCAGACCTGACAACTTGAAAATCACACCAGGCACGTGTGTGTGCATGCCCAAAATCCCAAGGAGAGACTGAAGAAGGGACTGCAGCATGGCCATCCCCCTGGGGAGGGTTTCTCCTTTTCCCTCTCTCTTTCTCTGGCGAGTGCATGGGTCCTATAGCAAAAAAAAAAGAAAAAAAAAAAGTGATAGGGTGCATGAGCTTGCTGGAGAGGCAGGGAGAGACAGAGAGACAGAAAGCAAGAAATCGCTCCCCAGGGGAGATGGCCACGTTGCAATCCCTTCTCCATTCTCCTCTTGGTATCGTGGGCACACGCACACGCGCCTGGTATGAGTGTTTTGTTGTTTTTTTAAAAAACTAATTAGTTAACTTTATTTATTCATTCATTTGTTCATTTTTTTTATTAGTTTTTTTTTTTTTGGAGAGGTTTTCGCTATAGGGCATGTGCGCTCGCCAGACAGAGAGAGACATAGAGACAGAAAGCGAGAAATCACCCCCCAGGGGGGATGGTCATGCCACAATCCCTTCTCCTCCGTTCTCCTCTCGGGATCTTGGGCACGCACGAACACGCACCCGGCGTTGAGTTTTAAGCCACCGGGTCCGGGACGCGAACCGTAGCCGACTACGTGGGAGTCCAGCGACATAGCCATTACGCTAACTGCTGGTTCCCTTTTATTCATTTTTTTTTTTTACCATGAATCAAATTTCCCCAAAAGGGGGATTTTATTGATTACTTTATTCCCTCACAAATAGACCAACTGCAATCAAATGAGGTGAACGTTCACTTCAAGATTTTGTCGTCTTCAGAATAGAAGAGATGAGGCTTAGAACTGGATCACTTGACCCTTTCTCTTCGTATCTCCTCCCAGTTGAAAATGCTCACATCTCTTAGCCAGCATCCTTTTAGATCTGCGGCCGGGCTCAGCACATTCAGCCTCAGCACAATCTCCTGTATAGTTTTTGTCTTTTTCCGGAAAATAAGCTTAGTCTGTCCACCACAGCCACTCTGCTTCCTGTCATAACGCCGCTGTCCCCGAGCACACAGAGCATCCTTGCCCTTTTTGTACTGTCACTTTATGAGGTTGGTGCTCGCCACACTTCTTACAGAGGGTCCGACGGGTTTTAGGGACGTTCACCATGCTTGTGGGCCTGCTATTTCCATTCATTTATTTTAATTTGACCCCAGAGAGAGAGAGAGAGAAGAGAAAAACCAAGCCACCAGGTCCAGGACTTGAACTTTGGTTGGCCATGTGGGAGTGTCCAGCGCCCTAACCACCATGCCACTCGCTGGTCCCTGCCTGATATAAGTTTTAAACTTCCCAGTCTGGAAAAAACTGTTTTTAAAAAAGTGCTTTTTATATGAGGTTTAAGATATGTTGGGACCAGCAGCTGGCGTAATGGCTATGTTGCTTGGCTTCTATGGA